CTCACCTACACCTTTCCTGGTGCTCCCCGGAGTCTGAGGAGTAATCATCTACTCACATGGACAAGTGTCTCTACCTCAGTACTGCAGCCTTTCTTGCTTTCAAAAATATTAACATCGTCTCCTTCCATATGCTAACTTTGCTGCTGGCCCCACAGCACTGGCAGTACCCTGCTTCATCTTCTTTGGTTTGCTTCCTCCTCTGTCCCATAAGAAAAATACACGTTTGGGTCTAAGACCCAGTCTGACAACATTTCTTACTTCTTAACCTATTTTGCCTTTAAAATTTGGGGTAGTTTTTCCCTCCTAAGTGCTCCAGTGGCAGAAGAAAATCTCCCTATGAAAACTAATAAACTGTTACTCCCCCATGCCTCACATGTGATTCACTGCTGCTCTGATGCCTACAGAATACCTTTTACTGCCTAGGCAGTCCAAGTCCAGAGTTTGCTACATATTGTACTAAGCATAATTATTTTTTCTGGGCTCTTACACCCCAGTCTTGCACCTCAGTATGTGCTGAAGATTTCCATTGTTCAGAGAAGGGGCAAGGTTCCTCTGGCACAATGAGGGCACTTTCAGCTGCTACCCTAGCACCAATAGTGATTATCAGTTACGCCTTAAGAAATCAGTATCTGACAAGAGAAAGCACGGTGCACAAATTAAGTCTTTATCAAGTACAGAAGTGGTATTTCTGCCACTGCTATCCCATGATGAATGCACTCTTAATTCATTAGACTATCAGTTGAATACACTGCTCATGATCAAAATTGTTCCAACCGAATTAAACAGACAATTTTGGCACATTCATTAAATAATGATTGAAAGTAATAATAAAAGCTCTCCCAGTAATATTCTTTCCAAAAAGGCTGTGAAATAATGAAGTTGAATGGTCTCAAAAACACAAGGATGATGAAAATGCACAGAAACATGTAAGTCTGGAAATTTAAGTGAAGTGTTAGAACCAAGAGAACAAAATTCACATATATGGTAACATACAGACACCAGTAGTTCTGGAATAGGCTATCTGTATCATTACAACAAAATATGGTGGCATTTTGCTATTTTTATATTATGTAGCTACACCATGTGAATTAATGAATATCTTTGAAGGGGGAAAATGGTGGTGCATTACTTTTATTAGAGCAAGCTCTACCTCCAGGACGGGCTTCTTAGTTTGAATTCTTCTCTGTTTGAGATTTCTTATGTTTCCAATAGGTTAATTTTCCTAGTCTTGTTCTCTCAAACTAGGAACCATGCCACAACTATTTAATAAATGTGCCAGTGTGTCAAAGTCATTTTTCAGAGATGAGTGAAAATGGAAATGAAGTCAATGGGGTTACATTAGCAGTGAATTTGTCTCAAGGCAACCGTAGGGGAATACTTCCAAAAGTGGAACCTTATTTGTAATAATTTTGCTCCTGTTAAATCTACCAGACAAATAGTTTTCTCTGCTGTTTTCTTCTGAAGGCAGAATCTTTCTTAGGACAGCTATCAGTTTGATCCTATGAAGGAAAAAGTTTCCTGAATTAAGTAATGGAGGCATGTACTAAAGTGCTAATGAGACTTTATCATGCAAAGGAAAAGGTGTTAAATCCGCATTGTTGAAATGTTTAGTAAGCAAACATTATCATCTTACAGTCAAAGAATTAGTGTACGGTGATAGACAAATCCTACTCTCAATATAAAACAGTGATAAAAGTCTTATCTTAGAAAAATAACTCCAAAATGTATAGCATCAGAAAAATGCTGTTCCAAACACCTACCCTTTCCTGTGGTCCTGCCCCCAAGTTACGGCCATTTCATGTCTGTCTGCCTTCCTTTATGAGTGAAACAGAACAAATAAATATGATTTCTTTTTTCCTTGTCAAGCTCATGGTTATGTTTAATCATATTATGTAAATCCTCTTTAAAAGCCTCAAATCAGATCTGGGTCATATAATGGGTAATGTTGCTCAAATAAAAAATCAATTTATTTGTAGATCAAAACAATTCTGTATGAACCCTAACCAAAATTAATAATGCATACTTATTTTTAATATAATTCTTACACACATCGTGTCCTCTTCCCAGGACCCTCAGAGTTCTCACTTCCTCAGCTCAGTCAGGGAGACGTCTTGAGCTGCAAGTTGAATTCCCCAGCCTTCCTACTGGTAGTGGTAGATAAAACTTTGCTGACATTACAAGACTAGTTTCCATTTACACTTTTTGGTCTGCTTTCAGAAGACCAGTTCGTAACGTCAAAAAAAATAATTCTAAATGCAAACACTCTACCGATGTAACATAGACTAATGCAAAAGTCAGCGATTGCATGTGGTGGTAGCTGTGTTGGGCTGATGTAGCGGTAGCTGTCCTTTCATTGGCATTACTCGACATTTACACTGCTGTGAACGAGAGTAGGATTTCCTTTGTATTTAATCCTAAAAGCATGAGTCCCTTCTGCTTCTCACCTATTGTAAAGCAGCAAGAACATAACTGAGATATGAGAAGTTAACTGATAACAATGTTTTTCTGCGGATGTAGTACAGCAATTTATTAACTATATACAGTTTCAGAAAACACATTGGGAATGCAGGCAAGTTACTGTGGAATGTTTTTTACAGTATATACAGTATAAGGAACAGTCTTTAACTTCTAGCTTTCATGACTTAGCTCTATATTAAAGTCACTGCTTTCTCAAGTTTTTATGTTTTCAATTAAATTAATGACACATTTTTTATGCCTAAGGCAGGGGGGTTTCTCATCCCAAACATATTTTCACGTAGCTAACAAAGTGTTCAAATAAATCACAGAAAATATGTTAACAGTTAGACTTGCTAATAGATTTTAGGACCATGTAAACAGTGACTTAGATCAACCCTATAGCCCAGCCATTCCCCTCTTCTTCCAGGTGGTGTGCCACCTTTTTCTGGTGAACCTCTGGGAGGACAGCTTGAGCCGTGATGCCTGTCTATGTGGTCAGCTGCTTCACCAGCATGTGTGAGCAGCTCCGTTGGAGGTGGCATTCTGGCTTTTAGCTGCACCTCGGGGACAGGGCAAGAGGAGGAAGCCTGTCCACCTCACCAGCAGCACCTGGCAGGACCTTACACATTATGATAGGGGATAGGATATGATATTTACATGCAGATGTAAATAGCATTTCAGGCTGTTCTTGAACGGTGTATCATTTTGGGGAGGGAAGATTTTCCATTTGCTCAAACCAACCTTTTCTGAAAGAGGAAGTGGTGTTAATATCTGTACTACATCTGATATTAATAATATTGCTGAAAAGCTAATAATACAAATGAGCAATTAAATATTAAGGGCAAAGAAATAAAAATGTTTGAGGACAAGATTTGTATTTGTATTGCAGCACACCAGTAAGGTTCAAATCCTACTGCACACATTTTGTTGGTAATGGTAGGCTTTTTATAATCAGGAATGTTTTTACATGATATAGAGAGAGTAGTTTCTAAGATGTCACATTACCACAAAATCTGTTTGATAACCTTGAAGTTTAACATTTCAGTACAGATATTTTAGTTTTTATCTGTACTATGAATATTCTGTTCCAAATGACTGGTTATATTTCTACCACAGCAGGCAAAATTATGAGAAATAAAAATAATTTAACATTTGTTAAAAGATGTGATTTTCCTCTTACCTCTGCTTTCAAAAACTGACACACGCAACTGAATTTCAGAAATAAGGGTTTTAATAAGTACTTATAAATACTAATTGATCAGAACTTTTTAAAGTTATGAAAATAATCTGATTAAATTATCATATTATACACAATAATCATACCTGATAATTTCATTCATAAAATGTGATGTAGATTAGATTACTAATTATATTCACTTTTCCCAACTTTCCTGTCCTTTTCATCCTGCATGATATACTCCCTTGGTGATTGCTGTTTGCAAATTCCTACACAGCTGCACTGAAGGTGATTCAGAGTTGTTTCACTGACCTCAGCAACAACTTCATCAGGCCCTCGCCCTCTCTGATCTTGTCTTCATCGCGTTGGAGGACTGAGCTGCCATTTTACCATAATAGTGACCCTCTAGAACTGGTGTGAGGCTAACCTTGCCCTACATGTATATATATTTACATTTCTACTATGTATATATATATAAAAATTCTCAGAAGCTTCTCCTGTGTTATTTTCACGAGCACTACATGAATATCAGGTGCAATTTTGCCAAAAAAAAAAAAATCTTTGTTCATTGAAACATGAAAATAGTTATAATAATCAACAGAATTTCTTTTTCATGTCTTCAGTTCAGTGTGACCATTTTAAAAATTCATTGCACCTTCCATTTCAGGAGATTTTAAGTTCTGGAAGTTAGTGTTACATGAAATAATCTCTGAATATCAGACAGGAATAGATGTCAGAAAGGCTTCCTTTCTGGACAATACCATGCATACAAGTGAGGATGTGTGGAAGAGTGCAGTGTCATCTCTGAGCACCAAATAAGCAATAACATCATAGAAACACTAATAAACCCAGTTAAATTACTGCATGTAGGATAGAATTAACCTTGTTCGGTGAAACTGGTCCTTCAGAGAAGATATTTTCACAAATAACAACAATGTCATTGGTTTTGCATTCACTGTAATGTTTTTAACAACTGATGCACATTTTATTTGTAGTACTTTGAGTTATGAGTTGTGTGATGGGAGATAAGGACTTGCAAGCTCTGTAAGTTGTGGTATTCAGGTTAACTTTATACATATGTTTGGCCTGTACTATCATCATTTCATTCTCATAAGGGCATGATGTAGCCCATATCTGAAGTCTCCAACTGGGTGTAAAATGGAAATACTAAAAAGTGGCTAATGGGTGAAATGCTTCAACATGCAATCGTATAAATGTGGCTTTCTCCAAAGTAGCATCAGTAGCCAATTAGATTACGTGCAATGATGCAAATGGTGCTAATAGTCTTGCGTGTTTTCCCTGTACTTCTCCATCGCCCTTTATTACTGTATCTTCTGAATTCTCCCTTCATTTTCTTTCAACAAAGGCAAGTATGCCATGAGGGATCTGGTCCACCGACTGCCAGGCGCTAACAACAGCAACAGCTCGGCAAGCAAGGCCATGTCTGATGACACCGTTACTGCCATTTGCTGCACTCTGCATGAAGTCATCACTAAAAACATGGAGAATGCCAAGGCCTTACGAGACGCAGGCGGCATTGAGAAACTGGTTGGCATATCTAAGAGTAAAGGAGACAAGTATGTTTTGCAAATCACCTTGCACCTTTTTTAACATCTCCAGTAGTTATTGTCAGTCCTGAATGTGTTTGCCTCCTCTGTGCAATCTTGAGTTGAATACTTCAGTTTCCTCAGAAATCATATGCCCAGTGTGAAAGGTAACAAGAAACAGTCAATGCCAATAGCAAAGATCTCTGTGGTGGTTTATTTTTGACGTACCATCGGCAGTGCATGGAGTGTGCTGCATGTGCAGTTTAAGGAAGAGTAGTTATCTACAGTAACAGCTACCTCTACGCACTTCCAGAAGATCCTGATAAACATTAGGGACCAGAGCTGTTAGCACCCTGTAGAAGGGGTGACATGCAGGTGGAGGGATCCTGTGAAAGGAAGGGACCTCAACACAGTTCTGATACTGTTCCTCTTGCTCTGGGAGTGAAGAATATAAAGTCACTTCCCTCTTCACAGCACCCTTTTCCCTGCCACTAGCTTGGTGCTGAGGTGGGGTGTGGTAGAAATACAGATCCATGGATCTCCCAACACCTTCCTTCTGAAAGAGCACTAGGATAACTGCAGGCACTAAAACATGCAAAAATCTTACACATGACTGTGACATTTTCAGGGCAAGCTATGGTTTCATCTTGTCTGTTTTCCTATGTACACACTCTTCATGAAGAGTTCACTCTTTGTCCTTCTTTTGCCTAAAACAGATAGCCTGGTTCTCATATTTGTCAACCTGCAGAAGTATAGTGCAATGGGACTATGGCAGTTTGAAAACAAAAAGCCTTCACTATAGTGTACAAAACCCATCAGTCCACCTACTCGAAGCTGTCATCACACAGCCTACCGCAGCATCAGAGCTCTAAAAGAGCCCCACAAAGCCAGGCCACAACCTGAAGGAAAGATTTATGCACCCTACATTTGGTATGAGAACTTATGCTCGCCTATGTGATCAGAGCATCGCCAGTATAATTTAATCACATTTCTTTTCCTCTGTTGTCACCCTTTTCTTTTCATACCAAATTCATTACTGAAACATTCTCACATTCTAATTGTAAGAGGTAAAAAGTAGTAGCATAACAAAGTATGTGATTCTAGTTGTGGGAGCTCCCCACGCTCTGCCAATTTATTTACATTTGCATTTTTTAAGTATTATTAAATCTATTCAAAATTTTGATTTATATTTCCTAGATCAAATGCACTGATACTACAAGCAGGTTCATATCCATTTCTCTTAAGTTGAATGTGTCTTTCCCCAGAATAATGCATTTGTCTACCTGTTCATTATCTGGTAGAGTTTATAAATACCTGTTAAGTCTGGAATTTTCAAAGCATCACGGGCAGTTTTAGGAGGATCCAAGAGTGTGATTTGCAGTCCAAATATCCCTCATAACTGTGAAAGACATATGTATGTTGAATGAAAGTATTTAGCCGCGTAGTGTTGTGTAATTCCAAAATGCCTTCCCAAATTGTGATTCATATCCCCCCTCTCAAGTACTTTGGGTTGCGGTCCTGTGTTATTACTATCACAGGTTACACAGTTCTAGAACAAGAAAACCTTTCAACTCACAGTGCTACAAATGCCCATCTTAAGTGAAAGTGTCATTTTTTAACTTTCAGAAATATTAGTATCAGACACCATTGCTTTGGTTTGGTTTCTTACAGGTAATCCATTGTTTAAAAATCAGAATTGCTGATTGTTGGACTGATAGGGAATTCTGGCATGCTCAGTTTAATACAGTAAAACATTTTAGTATGTGTTTATCTTGTCCAGTATGAAGCATCTGCTTCTACAAGTGCAGGATATTAGCCTGGCCATGCATCCTGGTACGTATCAGTGCCAGGAGTGTGGGGCTGGCCCTGCTAGCCTTTGGAACATGTCCAGGGTTTGAGCGCTTTCCCTGTATGACAGCACAAGAGAACTGGTGTTGATAAGGTCATATTGGCCAAGCCCATATTGGCTTCTCATAATTCCTGTTTCTCCTCAGTACTCACAGTATGGTTGACACAGTTATTTTTCTGGTTACTCCATGCTACCAGCACCCCACTAGCCAGTACAGCTGGAAGTATAGTAGAAACAATTATGCCTGAAAGGGTTCAAATTCCTGTTTATTCACCAGTAACCACCTACTGCTCTACTTTGGGTAAGAAATGGAAGAAAAGGGAAAAAAAAAGCACCAAATAAGTTACTAGGAAAATACTGTAAGTTAATGGAATCAGTTGTGTAATGAACATTGTTTTACCAGCTTGAGTGTCAGCCTACCAGTGGTCCTCCTCAGAGGTCACAGGATGCACCAGAGCCTGACCCCTGAGAAGACTTCCTGCCCAAGCCAGTAACATATGCTGCTGGTTTTCTGGTTTCTCTTTGGTTTTGCAATCCATGTGCCTTTTCTGAGTAAAACTTGCATCACCTCAGTGACTGCCCCAAACACCATCAATCCTCACTTCAGACTTTGGCCTTTGCAAGGTTTTCTAGCGCTCTACTGCTTTATGTGTATTATTGGTACAGCACAAGGGATTAACTACACAGTGTATGCTTCCTCAGTAGGCTGGGTTATCTTCCTGGTCCTTTTCTATTTGACCCTTCTTCACCGAGCTGAATATTCTCTGATTTTGGGGTTTTTTTTAAGATGATTTTTTTTAGAGCTAACTATCCCAAGAGTAATATATGATTCCAACTGATTATAACAATAGTTCAGAGCTGCTTTCAAAACCTTTCTGAAGAGAAAGTCCATGTGATGTTATATATGGTTTTCAACATGACCTTGCATTGCTGTCATTAGAGGGTAACGGTGTGAGCAAGATGCAAGTGCTAATTTGGATTCCTAATGAAATTTGTCATGATTTTTTATAGTCAGTTGTATTTCTGTGCCTTGACTCTGCACTTCAAAAACAGTGCTCATCTCCACCTAGAGTGTTTCTTTTGGCCACTGCTCAGAGGTGCTTAATTCGTTGAGCTGTCATGAGTTGAAGTTTGGCAGCTTATAGAGAAAGAAACTCTGGCTCTAACTTCTTGTCCTTTATGCCAAAAGTTGTAGCCAGGACATCTTCTTAGATGTACATAATACCATTTGGGTCCTCAACGAATTTTGCTAGTTGCTGCCTCTCCCATTCCTCTTTATTATGCTCTCAGCGTGAATCCTTGTTCTCAGTGTGCTGAGGAACACACGTTTTGCTCCTCACTGAATAATTAGTACTATAGAAATAACTTGTAGTGCCCTTGCTTAAAAACACATTGGTCTCCAAGATGCCAACCAAAGATCTTATGGTACATTTAAAACACAATGTAATTGTGGGTTTAAATCCATAGCGATTCATTTGAATATTAGAATGAATGGAGTCTTGTACTTAACAGTCTCTTTCTCACTCTTTCTTTCTCTCTCTCTCCCTTTTTAATATGTGTGTGTAACAGGCATTCGCCAAAAGTGGTGAAAGCAGCATCTCAGGTCCTCAATAGTATGTGGCAGTACAGAGACCTGAGAAGTCTCTACAAGAAGGTAAGGCTTGGGTTTTTTCTAGATTTGTCATCTTTCATATGGTTACCCAAATCTGGGGGCTGAGAGACTTTAGACCAAAACAGTTATGTGAACTTGAAATTCACCTAGAGTTTAAAATTTCAGATACTCAGAGCTATGTGTTTTTCTCTCGTTTCCACTTTTAACATAGAAATATCTTTTGAAAATACGTGTGGTGGTGAAAAGGGAATGTAAATTTGATTTTCAAAAGTATTTATACAGAAAGTGCTGGATCTGACAGCCCTGGAGAGTGAAGTTTTCTGTTGATATAACAAACATACGCGAGCTCTCATACTGTACTTTTCCTTCTTGCATCTCCCCACCCTGTCCTGAGGAGACTACCAGAATTCCGGCCCTTCAGCTCCCAAATTTCCTCATGAGATTGTAAACAAGAGTATCTGAAGGAGTGGTGCTTAGGGACCAGTTACATGTAGAGCTGGGCTGAAACTTGATAGCTTCACTTCCAATCAGCTGGCAGACAGTAGAATAATATACTTGGGTTTCAGACAGACTGTGGAGTCCATAGTACCATACCATTCCCACAGGCCTGATAACCTCTTAAAAATTAATTGCAATACAGTAATACGATCATGTGAATCAACATCCAATATACTTTTAAAAATATAAATGTCTACTTAGTAAATGACAACATTTAAAGTAACTCTTGCTGAATATTTCCAGGTGGAATTATACTCCATGTGAGTATCAGCCTGCAGATTCAGTTCTCAAAGGTCATCTTGCTACATGGAATTTCAAAGCTGATCTAATTGATACTTGTATTTGTAATCTCAGCAGAGAGAGAAGACTTCATGTGGCACAAAAGTTCAGGTCCTAGTTAAGGCTGAGGCATAAGAATTGTGAAACAGGGAAGGTTCACAGCAGCGTAGTCTATGCTGTATGTATTTTGCACAAGAAAAGAACCTATTATGCACAAAATCTCAAACTGGCAGAAGCTGACCTTCTGTTTGAAATGCTGTTCTTCTGCATGCCTCAGCCCTGCTTGTGTCAAGTCTGAGGAGTAAGGAAGATGATTATTGAGTCTCTCCCATTGTTCACTTCCAGTGTTTTCAGTCATCCTTGGCAGCCCTAGGGAGACCATATGTGAAGACATTCCAAGTAACGAGCTGGTACTCAACTGTCCCATTAAGAGGTGGGAACAAACATGAGCTAGAGTAGGCTTTTCTTGATTCAAGGCAGTAACACACTGGAAGTGTGCACAGCCTGACTTCTGTGCATGTGGGTGGCTGCACTGTAGAGGCTGAACTTCACTGCACCATAATCTCTTAGAGGTTCTTACAATGTCTGGCTCATTTCCAACCTTCTGTCTCTAGATATATGCTATGATGGAAAAACAGTTTCATGCTCCATGCATGAGGTAATCTATATGTTGTATGGCTTTTGAGTATACTGCTACCTAAAGGACATTCTGTTGGCTGCCGTAATGTACTTAGTCATGTTGGCTGATAATGTACTTACATACCAAGCATGCTTGGGTACTAAATACCTTGCATGCTTAAAAGAACATTTTCTGCGGCCACAAATACATATTTGTGGTATGGAAAATAGGACATGCTAGCCTGTGAGGTAGCTACCAGGACACTCGTAGCAGACAGGTTGTCTGTATTCTCAGGAAGCATTTTATTAACCTCTGTATTGGCTAATACCCACAGGCTTCATAAAACCTTAAAATGAAGGTCAGTCTCTACTACATATTTGTATAATCATTATATGCAATTACATATGCTTCTAAGCATTGTATAAATATGGTTTCTTCTAACCAAAGTGTTCAGATAGTTAATTTAAAATACTCTTCGTTGTTAAAAGACATACAGTAATCTTTATAAAGTTCATAATATTTATTAAACTTGCCTATAGTATGCTGACTGTTATGATGTCTGAGTTTCACCACTGTTGGGAAAATAATGTTTCTATGATAGGAAAATTAGAAAAGTATGCATCATACTAATAATCAGCTAGTTATGTAATATAAGGATACTGGGTCAATGTAATGTTTATTTCATCCCATTAAAATCCATATGATGAGTGAGCATACAGTTAGCAGTATAATATTATTGGCACTTTGCAGTATCTTACACTTGCCCAGCCTTTTTTGAAGTGCAGGAAAATCCCACTGCATAACCATCACCAATTTCTTCCTGTGTATTGAAGTACCTATACAATTACTTTCAAAGCATTGGTGGCCTACAGAGAGGCACAATTTTGTATTGTAATACAAGGAAATTGCAAGTATCACATCACATTTAAGAAAAAGTAGCAGCACTTACTTACCTTACTGTTTGAGAAACGGTGTAACCAAATAGTTTGAATTGTGGTATATTTTAGAGCTACATGTTTACTGTAGAGTAAGGAAGGAGCGAAAAAAAGAATGGAAGTATTATCCTTTGTATTAATGGGGAAAGAAGACAATGGATGTTTACTGCTAATCAGTAGCAGTCACTCTATTTAGTCCAAATATGACTGCACCAGCAAAAACATGAAAACCTTATTCACTTTTCTAATTTTGCTCAAATTGTAGGAATCATCAGCTGGCAGAAGGGAGACAGATTGGGGGAGCCACCCCCTGCCATCCCTGAGGCCCCACAAGCAGCAGGGGATCCCCTGCCCTCCGGCTGCCGGGCAGAAAGAGGGAGCCTGAGAGATGAGGGGGAATGGAAACGGGTCCCTGCTCGGGGCGGCAGGCGAATCCCCTCCCGGCCTCCCTCATCGTCCCAGCTGCCCTCACACAACAGATATGGGGCTCTGGAACTTAAGGGCCGGGCACATGAGGACCTTTATGCAAGTCCATCCAGGGGGTTGCCAAGGGCGAGTCAGCCAGCCCCACGCATCAAGACTTCTTCTGTTAAGAAAAAAAGAAGGGTAATTGTCGTAGGTGACTCCCTTCTGAGGGGTACAGAGGGCCCAATATGCCGACCAGACCCAGCCCACAGGGAGGTCTGCTGCCTCCCTGGGGCCTGGGTGAGAGATGTCAGCAGGAGACTCCCTGGTCTGGTTCAGCCCCCTGATTACTACCCACTGTTGGCCATACAGGTTGGCAGCGATGAGGTTGCACTAAGAAGTCTAAAAGCGATTAAAAGGGACTTCAGAGCGCTGGGGCGACTGGTTGATGGGGCGGGAGCACAGGCATGATTTCATCGATCCCTTCGGTGACAGGGAGGAGCACTGAAAGGAACAGGAGAACACACCTGGTTAACACGTGGCTCAGGGGCTGGTGCCATTGGTGGAATTCTGGGTTTTTTGATCATGGGGCTGTTTACACAGCACCAGGCCTGCTGGCAGCAGATGGAGCTTAACTGTCTCAAAGGG